GAGAGAGAGAGAGAGAGAGAGCAGGTGCTCGATCCTATGGCCCTGCTACTTCGAGATCGTGCTGAACCGTACGACTATTACACAACACGAGACTTCCCAACCTTGGACCGAGAGCTTTTCTCGTCGCGAACGATTGACAAATTATGAGGAAATTTTGTGGATATAATTTAATAATTTTTAGATTACGACATTATTTACTAACGTTTATTAATATGTGTGTGTATACTTTTTGTTCTTATATTCGAAATATTGAATAAATTCTGAAAATTAAATTGTTTCGACTCGTAGGCTCTTCTAGTGTTGTTATATTTAATTTTGATTAACTAATATTTCTTAATGATCAATATAAATTTAATAGAACTTCGGAGATTAGAATTAAATGAGGCGTCATTTCATTGAAATAGCAATTCGCAGATCATAATAACTAATTTAACGTTGCAAAATGCGTAGTCCAGTAAACTAATTCTCAATTTTAGGAAAAAATTTGATATTGATAGAAGTTTCTCTACCCGAATATCGACTTAAATTATTAAAATACTGCAAGATCTCTATTTGAGATTTTTTTACTTGCATTAATTTTAAATGTACCGAGATATCTATCCCTGCGTTAGTGTACCCGTATGGATGTTATTCATATTAAATGGACGCGCCGGAGTTTGCATTAAATATTAAAGACCTAATTCGTCGACTAACGAGTCAACTGTCCAGTTAACTACATACGCAAGTTTCTCGTAATTGTATTCTCGCACGTTGACGAGCGAAAATATTTCTAATAAAATAAATGAAAATCGAAACGAAATCTTAATTAGCTCGGCTGTGACAGGCAACCGTTGCTTTTACGATTGTTTCGATTAAAGGCAATGCAATGTCGCGCTCTGGAAAATAAATCGATTAACCGTTACGAATTTTCAATAGAAAGAACGATCAATCACCATCGCCGCTGGGCATCAAGTCCCTGATATCTCGTACATGATCTCGCGATTATCCGTATACAGACAGGGTGGAACGTTCGGCGCGAGATTTGCCCAGAAATTCGCTTCTTAAATTCTTGTTAGCGGAACATAGTTCTCCGGCCACGGTCGCGGATTCCATTTACTGATTGGATATGGCATCAGTTATTCATCGCTGTTAGTCGAAGGAGAGAACGAGAGAGAGGAGCACGTGCGGCCGTTATAAATACGGCGGATTTCCCGTCGGTATGCCGCTGCATTTGGAAATTCTCGACGGGCCTCCCCCTCAAACGTCCTCCCAACCTTTCCATTACATCGCTCGCGCACGTCCATAGTTGATCGTCGCACTATCAATAAAAAAACAGACCTCCCGCGTAATTCTCTCGTATACACGGCAGCTTAGAAAGATGCTGCCAAACTTGGAAAAGTATTCTCCTCACGCTAAAGCCGAAGAAAAGTTGCGCAATAACTAATACATCGGCCTTATGGCACATCAAAATTCCCCAGCGATTCAACCCTCGATTTCTTACAAAAATTCCGATATGATAAATTCACGATGATAGTTTCTAAGAAAGCGGATAAGAGATATCACAAGATATAAAGAGAACGATTCTCTCATTTAATTTAGTTTGTCGATTCGCGACGACGAAAATAATTATATCAACGGTTTTTGCAATTACATCGTGTCTCGTTTTTGTCGTAAAAAGATGGAGATTGATCGAAAGGATGTTCTATTGTAGTCATAATAGATATACACAGAAAAAAAATGATTTTACTGAAATATCTAAAACAATTGGATCTGAAAATAATTGTGTTGAACATCAAATTAATTATATGTAGGATACTCAAGCTCGTTGCTCGTTTACCAGAATATAAAATTTGTTTGCAGATTATGCTCGAATGTGTCCTAATTATTTTGATGATCCACCAAAATTAGTTTTAGATCTGTATGTAGTTAAATTTTTAGATATTTCAATAAAATCGTTCTTTCTGCGTAGATTAGAATTTTCGGATTATTTCTAGATTCATTGAACGTCGAAAGATTGAGACACAACGGAAGGAGCGATCAAAAAGGAGAACGCGAAGTGTCGAGTTGCTGTTATATTTATGGTCTTTGAGATATATATCAACACAATAAACACATTCACAGGGCAATATGACGAAGATAAACTCGGGAAATACGAGCGTATGATTCTGTGCTTCTGAGAAGAACAATATGTGGTTCGATGAGTCGTGAGATATACATCTGTGTTGTTCCTTTGACATTTTGAAATTTGATTCCAGACGTTATTGCGGACGTTTTTATTACGATTTCCCCGTCATAATTAAATCCTAATT